GAGGAGGAGGAGGAGGAGGAGGAGGAAGAGGAGGAGGAGAAAGAGGAGGAAGCAGAAAAACACGAACACGAAAATAAAAAGGAAGAAGAAGAAAAAGAAAAAGAAAGAGAAAAAGAAGAAGTAGAAGAAAGATAAAAAGGAGAAGAAGAAGAAGAAGTCATTGACGACGAGAAAGCACGGGAGCACTCACTGAGACAGAGCGGCGCTGCTCGCGGGTTCACCAGATTGTCATCGACGTACGACGTTCCGAGCGAGAACAGACACGAGCCCCCTGCACCGCTCAGCACCATGCCCGCCACCATCATCGCGTACGCCACCTGGTTAGCGCTCGAGCACTCCGTCTCCGCCGCCTCCTCCTCCTCCTCTTCCCTTCCTGCCAAGCACATCTCGTACTCGCTCGCGTTTCCGTCGCGCCCCCCTGCGGCCGCGCCCGCACCGTAGACGAAGTGTGGCGTGGCGAAGAGCAGGCGGCCGGCGGCGGAGAGTAGAGCGCCGATAGCGAGGAAGGCCGGCTGCCGCCGCCGGCCCAGGTAGCTACCCGCGAGCACGGAGAACATCTGCGCGACGGTGCTGCCGCTCAGTAGCAGGCCGCTGTACTTGCTCGCAAACTGGAAACGTCGCTCGATCGTCGTCAGGCAGCCGATGATGTAGGTGTCGCCGACGGCGTCGACGAGGAACGCGACGCAGAAGAGCGTCATGAAAACGCGCACGTCGGCGCAGCGACGCAGGCACGGCGAGCGCACGCACGCGACGCCGCACGACGGTGGCGCTGCCGGCGCTGGCGCCGCGGCGACGTCGTCGCGCGGGCTCGCGCCCGACGCATCGATGGTCGACGCTTTCGCTTCCGGTTTCATTTCCGGCAGAATGTTGTTACGACAATGATTTTACTTTGAGACGCGCGCGCGTGATGCCTCACTGACAATGTTTCACTCGCTGCAGGTATCGACCGAGCGTCAACGATCCGCGCAACTGGTCGGATAATGAGAGAACGCGTGAGGACAGTAATCCGCGTGGCTTAATCTCGACCCACTGCTACGTCTAGTAGCTGCTTATAAATGTAAGCTCTGTTTACTCAAGGTTGCAGACGCTCGTTTGCAGCGCAAGTGTGTCGTCGTGAAAGCACCTGTAAAAAGGAGCACCTGTAAAAAGAAGACGGCCGAAATGAGCTATCGTTAAGAAACAAAAGTCTGAAATATGTGAGTTGGCGTTAGAAATGAGAAACAACTGTCGATGTTAGCACCGAGTATACACCTAGTAAAATTCGTTTACATGCATGACAGCAGATGCATCTATTCGCCACCAGCAACGAAATTGCTATAGCACATGAGACACGGCCAGTGCGGCTAGCGCTGGTGGATACAGAGACAGGCCTTAATTCATACTTGTACGCATTTCATCTCTATTCTGCTTAGCTGCACCCTTCCCCCACCTAGCCCTAAGCGGCTGTGTCGCAGCGTTAATCATTTCAATGCTGTCTTGCCACATGGGACCGTTCCTTAGAACGACCTCCACGCGATCAACACCCTCCCCTCCCCCCCCCCACACACACTCACTTTCACACCACCTACATACCAGAGAATTTACTTCACGCGGCCACTCAGTGTATTTTAAGCAACGGAATAAAGGTGGCGCGACGATGCGTAACACCTTGAGGCAACGACGATCCGACCGAAAATGCAATCAGTCATATTTACGGACGCGCGGGCTAATCAATGTGACACGGGCTAGCGAATGCAACGCCGCTGCTTGTCACGTACAATTCCGCGCTAATCAGGATTGAGCATTTGCTCTGCCTGCGATAATATTTCTTCTTTCTATAAAGCTAAAGTGGTGTAACTTTACTGCAACTTATAGGATGACATTCCACGTAAAAAAACGGCGAGCTTTTTGGTGTGCTGTCATTAAATAAATACATATATATATATCAAGAGTCCGTAATATAGTCCATAATAATCTATTATGGACTCTTGATATATATATATATATATATTGTAAGCGTGCCGATACGTCTTACACTAAAGTGCGTAAGAAATGTTAACACTAAATAATCACAAGAACACAAGAGAAGACAGTGCCACGAAAGATAGATTTATTACACGGAAATTATGTAGCAATAGGTTAGCACGATAGTACAAAAGGTGTCAAGACAAGCTAGTGCGAGTGATTATTCGTACAACAGATGTGAAGAAATTCCACGTTAAGAAATATAAGAATTAATCTTCGAGAAGAGATAGATACAAGATTAGAAAGTAGCAAAACCCTAAGCCAACCACTTAAGAAGAACTTACGTACAGAAGACTGAACGATGCGCACGAACACGCAGGCACAGAACTAAACTCTAGACGTTTCGCGTTTCGTTATATAAGCGCTTAATATAATTTAGCCATGCACCCATACACGGAAATCACTCTTTGTTAGCCAATCGGCAGGCCGAGAGAGAACCTAACAGATCCTACCCGTTTTTAGAATAGATCTCTAAATATACAGCTTGGTTATGCCGGTAATTAATGCTGAGAGGGTCTATGTCCCCCAGGGTACTGCCGGAACGTACCCTGGGTACGGTCCGGTATACCGAAACGTACCCTGGTATACTATCTAATATGCCGGACCGTACCTCGCCTATTCCACTAACGAGTCTAGGGAGTCGCCTACGCCTACTCTCTAACCCTAACCATATCAAATAGTTACCAGGGTACGTTCTCATATACCGGACATAGACCCTATGAGCGTAATTAATATATCTACGCAGTAGCGCAGATATAGTGAATCCGCTGCAGGCCACATGGTATTTCACACATCTCGATCGGCGTGTCCAATTTTAGCCAGGAGATGATAGCACCGGAACCCATCTCTAACCAGACAGACAGAGAGACAGGTAACCCGGACAGAGCGACCGTGTCGACGAATCGTGTGAAGAAGTCGTCTACGCTCTATTCTTGCTACTACATGCATAAACAATAACAACATTAGCTGTTGTGATTCATGCACAAAGACCCCGGTCGTAGAAGTCTCGTGTTTCACACAGCTCCATTAAACCTGTTTTTGCTGCCCAAGCTAGTTATTACAAGAATAATCTGCTGGCAATGTAATTTTAAATAGGAGTTTGAATTCTTAAAACTTATGTAAACTACCTGTTTACAATATATTCTTCTGTTCCGAGTTACAATGTCTCCATGAATCCCTTGCTTTTTTT